GAGGAAGGAAAGAGGAAGGAAGGAGGGAGGAAGCAAAGAGGAAGGAAGGAGGGAGGAAGGAAGGAGGAAGGAAGGAAGGGAGGTAGGAAGGAAGGCAGGGATGGAGGAAGGAAGGACAGAAGGACGGACTGCCCAGGGGACGGAGCGGGCGCCCGGCGGCCCCACTCACCGGCAGACGGCACAGACGAAGCAGTCGGGGTGGTAGGTCTTGCCAAGCGCCGACACCACCTCGCCCTCAATGAACTGGTCGCAGCTGAAGCAGCGGGTCCCGTAGAGCCGCTGGTAGTCCCGCGTGCAGATGTACTCGCCCTGCCGCACGAAGAAGCCGCCCTCGGCCAGGTCACAGCCACATGCTGGGGAGATAGCAGTGAGGCCGGCATCAGCGGGGTGGTGACCCTCTCCCGGGTCCCGACGGGCCCCAGGCGGACCCCCACCACATACCGCCCCCACCTGACATGGGCCTCGGGGTGCCTTGCTGAACTCTCGGGGGCCCAGGCTCTAGGCATGGACTCCAGCTCTGGCTCCTCAGCCTGGAGTTGAGTGGACTTTCTTGTGGAAGCTTCCAGAAAGGGGCACTGACGTGGGATGAGAACCAGGCTGTGCTGAGGGGCCAGCCCAGCCCCCCTCCCTCACCTCCCTGACCAGGGATGAAGTGCAGACGCCCCATGAGCCCCTCTACTACTCCAGGTGGGCTGTTCCCGGCATGGAATATAACAGGTCGGGAAGGCAGCTAATACCCGAGCACCTACTATGCTCCAGGCTCTGTTCTGGGTGGGAAGATCCCGTGGGGTGGAGGACAGATGAGTCCCTGCGTTGGCTCCCTACACCACAGTGAGGCTTCCTACCCACCCCTCCTCTCGTCTCCACCTCCTCGATGCCCGTCTCCCACAGTGTGAACCAGGCCAGACCCCCCGCAGGAGGGAGAGAGGCCGGGTCCCTTGACCCCTAAGCCACATCTCCTGCCCCAGGAAGCTGGTGCAGTAGGGCCCCGGAGAGAGGCTGGGGGATCTTTGCCAGGTGGGGGACAGCCGGCCAGTCAGCACCTGGGACACATGCGAGTTCACCCCACACGCTCCCCCTCCAGCCCCAGGGGCACGTGGGAGCCACGCACGGCTTCAGAGGGAGCAGCCTACGCCCACCCTGGCCGGCCCAGCCGCCCCTGCTGGAGGCCTGGAGGAAGGCCCTGCAGCTGCAGCCCCGCTGGCGGGGTCAGTCCAGGCTCCTCGTGGGTCACAGCTCCCAAGCCAGAGTCTTGGAAAACCACATAGCCCTCACATCTTTCTGAATCGACACCTAGAAGTTCCCATCAAAACATTAACTGGGGCCGGCCCTGTGGCTTGGTGGTTAAGTGCGCGCGCTGCGATGCTGGTGGCCCGGGTTCGGATCCCGGGTGTGCATTGAGGCACCGCTTCTCCGTCCATCCTGAGGCCGAGTCCCACATACGGCAACTAGAAGGATGTGCAGCTACGACACACAACTATCCACTGGGGCTTTGGGGGGAAAAAATAAAAATAAATAAAATCTTTAAAAAAAAAAAACAAATAAAAAACATTAACTGATTGCAAAGGATGTAGTTTCTGGCTAATTCTAAGTACTGGCACCTTTAAATTTGACTGTCACCTCGTCCTTTTGAGCACCTCCACTGGAATGCAGATGCCAAAGCGAGACCAGCAACATCTATTCACAAAACCCACAGCCAGGCTCTTAGTGAAAGTAGAAATTTCACCTCATCGCTTTTTTTCCCAGAAAGCCTCTTTCGATCCCACTTTCCCCCACAGAACTGTATGCAAATATAACGAATTTTAAAGATGGAAAGGGCCTCCTGTGTTCTCTGCAAGAAAAACTCCAGAGTCGGTGTGGAAATCCATTTATCAGGAATTTCGTGTGGTTACAAGGCTCCAAGTATTTACTAAATTATTCTGGATTGGGTAATTATTACAACTACGAGCACAAAGCTATCGACACAACACGTACACCATACATTTTGGTAAACTATCATTAAACGTCTAAGTAAACCTTCCTGCACGCAGCTCCTGGTGATACGGACGGTGGAGACCGAGGGGAGACCCTGGAATCTGACCAGGGGAGCCCGACCTTTGCACTGCGCCTTGCTGGGTGCCCCGGGAGGCTGGGAGGCAAGGGGCCGCCCGGCAGCCTTCCTCCACCACAGGGGCCTCCTCAGGCAGCCAAGTTCCGGAAGGGCGTCTGTGGGAGTCTGCAAACCGAACCTCCAGAGTCTCAGGGTGCCCCCGGGGCCCATCTGCTTGGTCTGGCCAGCAGCTCCCCTCTCAGCTCAGGCACCCGTCAGTGCGTACCACCACCTGCCCACTCGCGACCGGGGGCTTCGGCAGCCCTGCGGGTTGGGCGCCCGCTCAGCTCAGCCTGGGTCTCCCAGTCCCCTCGCCCAGCCACAGGGCTGCGTGTGCTGTTCGCCGGTTACAGCCACCAGAGAGGCTGGACCTCCTTCACTGCACTTCTCCAAGCAGATGTTAGCTCTTGGGACCAGGGGGGACCTAAAGCAGAGCGGCCGAGAGCCCAGGGCCGGAGCTGCCTGGACGGGGATCTCAGCTGCACCTGTGCACTTCGCTGTGTGCCCCTGGGCAAGCTCCTTAACCTCTTTGGGCCTCCACGTCCTCAGCTGGAACACAGGGCCGACTTCAAAGGCGAAAACGGCAGCACAGAGGTGCCTCCTATGAGCGAGCCTGACGTGAGCCCCAAGTCATGTGGGGCCGCCGTCCAGGCCGCTGCTGTGCTGGCACCACTCATCCTGCGAGGCCCGAGGTGGCAGCCGGTTCTGGATCTTTCTCAACACCCAGCCTGAGAGGGAAACCCTTGTTTAGTCGTGCAGCACAGCGCAGGCCAAGCAGATGCCGACTGGGGGGGCAGGCTCTCTGGGGCCGAGGAGGAGGGGTACCGTCTCCCGTACATGCGGCCTGTAAGGACTGCACCCCGAGCGCTCGGGTGCTCTAGGCCCTCCCACTCCAGTGGTCGGTGATGTTCCGAATCTTCCTAAAGACACGACGGCACCGGCTGTTCCCTGAGGGGGGATGTGCAGACAGGCCTGGGGCCCCATCCGGAGGCGTGAGCCTCCCCGGCAGAGGCGCCAGAAGAGTGAAGGCCACAGCTTCCAGCCACGCCTGCCCGAGAGCCAGGGCCGGACAGTGAAACCCTGACCTCTGCTGCTAAAAACAAGTCCAAACTCGTTAATAATTTAAAAACTCCTACTCAAGGGGCTGGCCCGGTAGCATAGTGGTTGAGTTCACGCGCTCTACTTCGGCGGCCTGGGGTTCGCAGGTCCGGATCCCGGGCGTGGACCGACACACGGCTAATCAAGCCATGCTGTGGTGGCGTCCCACATAAAGTGGAGGAAGATGGGCATGGACGTTAGCCCAGGGCCAGTCTTCCTCAGCAAAAAGAGGAGGATTGGCAACAGAGGTTAGCTCAGGGCTGATCTTCCTCACACACACACAAAAAATCCTAATCAGGACAATAGACTGTGTTCGACTCTATTGTGCCTATCGAACTAGCCGAGACCAGTCAAGTGGGGAGCAGCTGTGGGTGCCGAGCGCCGGTCCCTGCACGTTCACCACGGTCATTTATGAGAAACGGACGGGAGGGCTGGGAAGGGCTGGAAAGACACTTTCTGGAAGACCATTTGGCACTGACTCTAAAGAATGTTAAAACTCCTCCTACCCTGTGACCTGGCCATCTCTCTTCTGGGCCTCTCGCCCAAGGAAATGCCCAAGGACAGCCACAAAAGTTAGCTGCGGTGTTGGCTGCAGCATCTCTATAATGTAATAAATAAACCCTGGGCTGTAGAGTCAGGGAGCCTGGGTCTGAATCCTCGCTCCTGTGGCTTCCCAGCTGTGTGACCTTGGGCAAGTTACTTGGCCTCTCTGAACCTCAGCGTCCTCATCTGTGAAACAGGGTTAACAACACCGATCTTGCATGGTTGCACAAGAAATCAACAAGATGAGGTACAGGAAACCAATGAGCCAAGGCTGGGCTGGAATCAGCGAGCGGAGTGACGGCTAATTTTACTGTGGGTCTTGCATTTGAGGGAATTGGGGCAGATGTTGAAATGAATGTTGAAGAACTTATATGACGGGGAAAGGGCACACCCAGGCATTTAAAGTGAATAAATCAGGATACAAAAGTACATATACAACACACTTCACACTAAAAACAGACTCTCACGAAGGACAGGACTGGAGGGACAGAGGGACGTACGCCCGAACACGGGCGGTAATTCCCTCGGAGGACAGAGTGGGGTGCTTCCCCTTCCCTGCCCCTGCCTCTCTGTACCGGCGGGCGGAAGAGGAGACGCGACTAACTTTAAAACACAAAGCAGGGCCGGCCCCGTGGCTTAGCAGTTGGGTGCGCGCGCTCCACTGCTGGCGGCCTGGGTTTGGATCCCGGGCGCGCACCGGCGCACCGCTTCTCCGGCCATGCTGAGGCCGCGTCCCACATGCAGCAGCTGGAGGGATGTGCAACTATGACGTACAACAATCTACTGGGGCTTTGGAGGGAAAAAAATAAATAAATAAAAATCTAAAAAAAATGAAAAATAAAATAAAATAAAATAAAATAAAACACAAAGCACAACAGAGACCTCCAGGCGGGTTCCCGCCGGGACTCTGGCAGGCTGCCTCCGGGCTGCGCGGCCACTCCCGGCCCGCCCGGGTCCTATCCTAACGCTGCCTGGGCCTCCCAGCTGTAATAACAGGCCGTGTCACCAGAGTCCTTCCTGCGGAGACTTCCCACGGTTCTGCCGCAGGATCCCGGTTCCTGGCGCCCTGCATGGTCGGGCTGTAGAACAACGTGCGCCCTGGGCGGGGGACGGGCACACCTGTCTGGAGCTGCCCTTTGGTTCCAGAAGCCCCCGGTGGGTTTCCCAGAAACGCCCCTGGAATGCCCCGAATGCAGATGCGAGAAGGCAGGCATTTTGCGCTGTTCCTTGTCACCCCAGTCGCCCCAGCAGCTCTCGCGTGGCTGTTCATAGTCCCCGGACGGATGGGCGCTTGTGGACACCCCACCCGCCAGTACCAAGTTACCCGCTGAGCCGGCGGGGTCTCCTCCCCATGCCGCCCTCCCTCCTGCGTCCTCAGTCTCCCCACACCGTGGATGCGCTCAGGCCCGCTGCCACCCGCACCAGAAAACGCCTGCTCTCTCGAGGTCACACGCCGTGTGGCCTCACCTGTTCCTCATTCCAGCGTGGGGGCAGAGTTCCCAGGGCGTTCCGAGCAGGGCTACAAAAGATCACAGTCCAAAACAAGCATTCTAGAAGCGCAGAATTCAGCCACACAGGAGAGGTCAGGCTTGTTTTTCCAGGCAAATTTCAGGTCGTTTGTAA